TGCAATTACAATATATATATATATATCAGGTTCCTTAAAAAAGGCGTGACTTACCATCAATGCCGGATTCTATATTCTAACAAATTCACCTCCCCAAAATACAATATGTTACGCAGCCGATGATTAAACGCCACATAGATCTGAAATTGCCTTTCTACAGCCACCAGAAATCTTTGAGGCATCGTTAATCGGAATTCCAGGTCGCGATTCGAAGAATACAGTCAGATTATAGCCACCAAGAAATCGGACAATTCATGAAACAGATTCCACTACGTCAATCGTCTTCTAAATCAGTAGATTCGTATAGATCGGGTATGTCATTCCATATCAATTAATTACTTGTTCGTGTAATGTCACAATGTTCTTATCAATAGTAGAGAATTGACATTAATAAAACAACTGAAGACACCTTTTTTTATGAATAATTGATCAGGATTTAGTGACTTCTATTTGAACAAATCCATTGAGTGAAGTCGATGAAGACTTCTACGACTGACAGTGATTATGTTGTGACTATTAGCATTAATCTGTGACCATGTTTGCTTCAGGAAAAAAAAAATCATAATATGTGACCTACATTTTAAAAAAATTGTGTTGTGCTTTTGTTCTAGCTTAGATCGAGGTCAGTGACCTGTTCACTCATGTGCTTCGAATCTTCTAATATGTCTGTGACCATTAGCATTCAGGTTGAATTCATAATATATGACCTGTAATTTTAAAAACTGTGACATGCTTTTGTTCTTAATCAGAATTATGTCAGCAACCTAGTCACACATGTGCTTCGAAATCTATAATAAGTCCGTGACAGCTAGCGTTCATGTTGTGAAATTAAATATAAAAATGTGACCTACGGATATACAATATGTGACCATGACTAATAAAGTGTGACATGTTTTCGCTGTTACTTAAAATTTTATTATTCACAGATATTATTTAAGTTGATTTCTTTTGTAGAAATGGAAAACAATCACGTTTGTTTGATGAATGGATCACAGCTATCATTGGTGTTGATCGATCGTAACTGCGGGTATGGGAAACTTCTAGATACAGTTATGACAGAGTTTGGGTTGGATCCTATTAAGGGCGCAGTCACAATGAGTTATGAGTTGGTTAGTGATCTGCCTCCAGTCACAATCAAGAATGACAATAATGTGTTGTCATACATGTTGTTGAAGAATATGCATCAGGACCCTTCCAATTATCGAATTAAAAATTGAGATTGTGACCAATTAAAATTTACGTGTGTGACCATTAACAAAAAAAATGTGAGATGTGCACAAAACCCTGTGACTTGTGCTTTGACCATTAACAAAAATCTGAAATATGTGCCTTATCATGTTATCAATCATTATACACAACAACATAATCTGTGACCTTTGAAGTCATAATCTGTGACCGTTAATAATATTACACAATAATCTGTTACATGCGTTGTGACCAATTAAAAATAACCTGTGAACATTAATAAAATTCGGAGACCGGAGCTCTATCATGTTATCATTCATTGTACAATAATCTGTGACATGTGCTGTGACCATTGTAAAAGTAACACGTGACTACAAAATATACTCCAGTTTTCCATCCATGACATGTTTATATTTAATATTCAAACTGCATTTCAGCCGTCACTCTATGTCAATACTTGCTCCTCCAGTTTGCTGCGCCTTCTTTGTGGTCTTTTTAATTTCCCGATGTATAAATAGCAAGGATACTATATCCAACCGTGCTCTACCCGCATCAAATTTCATCGACATTGATCCTATATCGTTATGTAGTGTGTATTCAGCATATTTCACCGTGTATATGCCACATTCATGTCTGAAAAGGAAACAACGGAATATTAATATATAACTCCAACTTTTCTCTAATATAACAAAAGTTCAAACATGCATAAAGATCACTAAGGAACGTATTAATTCAAAAATCGAACAAAAAAAATCTCTGTATGGTCACAACCTTCATACATGCATACTGGTCACACATAAAAAAATTTGGTCACACACGGTTTGGTAGGTCGCAAACATGATTATGTTTTTCATACCACAATTCGTAAATCAAACAAAACAAAGATCATTGTTTATGGGTCACAAAACGGAATACCAATATGCACTGAACTCATTCATCACAAATTGAATATAGCATAAGTC